AATAATAATAATAATAATAATAATAATAATAATAATAATAATAATAATAATAATAATAATAATAATAATAATAATAATGTATCAAAAAATATCAAAAATAAAAATAAAAAACAATAAAAATTACCAACTAATAAGCGATTGTTTTCAACCGTTACTTAGTTTTTATCGCTCTATATGTACAACTACACACATTTTTTTCTTCAAAAGAAAAAATATTTGAATTACTACTTACAATTACCATTTTACTATTTATTTTGTACTATTTGGAAATTTTTATGATATTATATCATTATAAATTATATCACTATGTTTCATGTGTTAGATCTATGTCTCATGTGTTTCCTATTAATCGTTCTGATTGACTTAAATATTTTGGTGTGGAGTACAATAAGAATATTATTAATAATTATCTTTCAAAATCATTATAATCCGTTACAACTCATACTTACATGTGAAGTGGACAGTAATGCTCCCCTACCCACGATGGGCACATGTTAATATGTCCACCGCTTATGTGGCATGCACACATTGGTGATGTATTTTTTTGAACATATTAACATCACCAATGTGTGCATGCCACATAAGCGTTAGACATATTAACATGTGCCCACCGTGGATAGAGGAACATTTTCCGTAAAGTGGAATAGCAAAATTGTAATATATATTGAATCTAAGAGCATATTACTTACTTGCTGCAAACATTTACAACCCCCAACTCAAGTTAAACGGGCCAGCCCTAACGGGTTTTGTGTTAGCCCTAACGGGCTTCTGTTTAAACGGGAGCCCTAATTTAAATGGGCTACCAATAAAAAACCCTAACCCTGTTTTTTTTTCAGGCTAAACGAGCTGGCCCGTCGGGCCAAGGACTGTTTAACATCTCTTTATAACTAAGAGCTTAAAACTGAGAGGACAACTAAAAACCAACCAACCAATGAGAATGGTCACAACACTATAACACTAACTAACTAAAAACCAACCAATGAGAATGGTCGATTCCAACTATAACACTATAACAACACTCGGGCTATAACCAACCAACCAACACTATAACACTAACTAAAAACAACTAGAAAGCTCACAACAATGAGAATGGTCGATCCCAAAAGGATAATACCTGCTCACACTCGGGCTCACAGAGGTGAACTGATCGAACCAAAAACACATGTCCTAAACAACAACCAACCCAACAAAATAGACAAAACCTAACAAAACCAAAACGATAAAAATATAGTCCTTTCCCAGCAGTAAACCGGTCCCCGAACTAAGCACTGGTGGACACATTGTCGACCCCACAGAAGAACTGCTCCCGTTGCCCGAAGAACTGCTCCAAAAACTGCCGGAACCACCTATTTGAAGCCGAACACAAGCCCCGAACCGATTCAGGAGCCAACCGGATTCCTGCCGGAGGAGCTCCAACCTCGCCCCCATACCACTGCAACTTCGACCCCGTCTA